TAGATAGGATCAGTTTTTCAACTTGCATTGAATTTCTCCTGCTCTAGAAGTAGAGATGAGTTGTACTAAATCCTTTCTAATTGGCTTGTAAGGGGAGGTTGCAGTGGAATTATGAAATGGGAAGATGACCTGCATAACTAGATGTCTTTTCCCCCCAGAACATTGCACAGCTGTATTCTTGGAGCCTTTTAAAATCAGCGATAGTTGCTGTATGACCACAGCTCCACGATCAGAGGTTACAACCTTGCAAAAGAGTTTTCTGGAAGTTTTTTCAGTTATTACTTGGAATTGCCAGGCCTGCAGTGCAGAGTGGAGCTTGTGCTGTAGGTTAGACCTCTGCTTCTGAATTGTGTCTTCAGCCAAAAGGTCTGAAAGAACAGGAGCACAGAGTGCAACAAGCTGCCTCAGTCCTGCCTGTATTCCTGTCTGAGGGTGAGGAAATTGTCCCTGAGATTGGACAGTCCATAGTCTCATCTCTGGTTTTGTTTTATTTTTGTTTTGTTTCCCCTCCTCTTTGTAAATCTCTCCAGCAATTGGGTAATGGTGACCCAGAACCTAAAATTATGAGAAGCACAACTAGTTTCTGTCGTTGAACGTTGGTTTTTCACTGCAGCGATGGCAGGAGCACTTGGGAGTTAAACCAGCTGCTCAGTTTTTTTTAATTTTATTTTTTTTTTTAAACAAGGTTCATCTTGTGTTGATGCTCCAGTTGGCATCTCTACAGCTTGACCTTTTACTTTCAAAGCTTTGGAAATGTACAGAAGCTTCCTGTGTCCCAGAACTGAAGCCCCTGCGTGTGGCAGTTCTGCCGATGTCTTTGGACAAAGACCCAGAACAGTCCGGTCCCTAAGTACCTGCTGACAGTTTTGTATTTCCCAGCGGATCTGTCTGCTCCGGGTGGGATGAGCCCCTGCAGTTTGCCTTAACCTTTGTTGAAGAGAGGTGGGCAGGCAGGTCGTGGTCTTCTGACCCCAAGACCTACAGGTTGGGGTCCTTTGCTGTGTCTTTAGGAGCACCAGAGGGATTTGGGTGCCAAAGACCATGAGCACCTGAATCACTTGGGTTCTTCTGAAGCTGCCCATAAGCCATCCCTTTTTAGGATCCCAGACAAATAACGTGAGTTTTTGGAGGAGTGGAGCTCCCAGTAGTCCCCCAGGAGGAAACGGAGGTGTTGGACCCACAGCACTTCTGAAAAACCAAGTTAGTCTGGTCTCCAAGCCAAACCTGAGGCTTCTCTTTTCTTCCCCATAAATCTTGGCTGGCAGAGTCTTCCCCGCGCAGCTTCTGTCCCAGACTGAGGAGTGGCCGCGTGCCCCAGAACAGCGCATTCCACGGTCAGAGGTCTAAGTCTGGTTTAGTGTTTGCCATGAGCTGCCTGGGCGAGGTCTCAGGGGGCCAGGGGAGCCCTGCAGCCACGGAGGCGGTTTTGGAAGGCAGCCCCGTGGAGATGCCTTTCTAATCCCTCCTGCGTACCTTGGCTCGTACTTAGAATGGGGTGAGGTGAGAGGAGGAAGGCAGAAGGTGTGCGATTGGCACCCAGCCTGGGTCGGACCCTGCGTTCGCCTCCCGTGGTCAGCACAGGCACCCCGGCACCCCATGGAGACAGCGGCAGGGACTAAAACCTCACCAGCACGTGCTGCTTTACAGAGAGATTTGCTGAAGTCGTTTTGTTGGCTGAAAAGCATGTCCCCAATTTATTTTTACTTAAATTGAAACCTAAGGCAAAAAAAGAGGCGTTGACTGTGCTCCCTGCAAAATTGTATGTGGCTAGGTGAAGTGACCCAAGAGAACAGTGCAGAAGTTTTGGAAATACAACTTAAATCTCTAGTTTCCCACCATGAAGCTGGCTTGAGTTCAGGGTGCAGATGCCTCGGCAGTTGGCGTTTCTAGGAAGCGTGCTCTGTGCTTGCAAATCCTGCCTGCTGCTGCGCGACACCTTCATTCATCCGCTCGGTTCACACCCCCAGGTCGGTCCCAATAAGTGGTCCGTGACTATCGGGGCTCTGGGAGGGGAAGGGGCTCATCTTGCAGATATTTATATTGTATAGAGCAGCTTATTTCTACAAGGAAAAAAAACCCAACATTTTTAAACTCCAACAAAGTATACAGTAGTTTCAGTTCTGGTTTTTGTGACCTTTTTCAGGGATCATTTCAGTGCATTTCTGTATAAAATAAAAATTTAAGGAAAAAAGGATTTTGAAGTATAAAAAAAAATGCATCTTCTGTACATAGGCAAACTCAAGAATCTTCTCTTCAGACACTGTTTCTTGTAGAAACATGTTGAAATTTTTTTGCTGATTTCTTTGTACTTCAAGAGCATGTAAATAATTTATTAAAAGTGACTATTGTAATTTGGAGTTCTTTTTAAACAGATTCCAGCTCTAAATCATGTCAAGGAGATGGGGAGGAAGAAGAACTAAGTATAGCAAAGGAGCTGGTGGCATTTACAGCTTGTGTCAAGCTTTGTATAATGTAAATTCTGTATAAATATGTTTTGTCAAATAAATAGATGGAATTAGAAGCATTAAGAAACTGAAAACAAAAAATTGCCAAGTCAAGGCTTCTTCTTTTCCCCCCCTCAGTCTGAAACCTAATGTGCAAAATCTATTTATTTCAAGCGAGGAAATGTGTACAGTCTAATAGACAACCGAAAATGTATTTAAGCGAGTTTGCAACTGGATTTTTTTTTCAATTTAATATTTGTTTTGTTTTTATGAGTTTCCTCCTTAATTGCCACTGTAGTATTTGTCCAAGTGAAAAGAAACACATCGTAACGGACACTCTAAAAGAAACGGGCAGTTTCACAAGGAAAACGGAAGAACACCCGGCTCCCAATCCTTGCAGTTTCTGGTTCTGTAAAGAGGTTGTTTTAATTCAGCGTCTGAACATAAAGGGCCTCCTTTAAAAGGAGGCAGGTAAAATGGTTTGCAATATATGAAAAAAAAAAAAATCTTATTTTTGTTAAGTTCCTTAAAAAACCAACTCTGCTTTGAAGATTTAGGGTTTCTGCTTTTTCTTTCGTTAAGCAAATTTATAAATTTAGGGATGTTTTGTGCATATAGAATCTGTCACCAGTATGTATCTTGTTTTGAAGAAAGTGTTTTTGTTGTGGATGTGTCATGCTGTATATATTTGTTCATATTTTTGTGAATTGAATACTATGTACCATTGTATTATAGTAACTTTTATAAAGCAAACCATAAATATACTGACTTTTCTTACAGAAAAATTATGTTGTGCTTAATGTATAGCCAGGGCAGCTTTTTGCTCTCAGACCCACGCTGGGAACCGTGAGAGCTCGAGGAACCTGATCCAGAGAAAGAGCAGTCCAAAGGACAGAGTTTTCAGCAAAGTTTACTGAAAATATTAATTCTGGTGAGCAGGAAATGACCGTATGCATGAAAGAAATGTGTGAGTTAAGTCTATAAACTTAAAGAAAATTTTGTTAGTATTACAAATCCTTACAGCTCTGCAGAGCTGAAGCGCAGCTGGGTGCTGGCCGCTGCCCCGGGGCAGGGGAGGGGTCCCTGCTCCTGCAGCCTCTCCCCTGGGTTTTTCTCAGTTCACGTCTTTATTTTGGGGGGTTTTTAACTTCATGGAGGTGAAAGCCCTTAACCTACGCAGTGAGGTGTGAGCGTTGCCGGTTCGGGGGATGCTGTGAGGCTGTTGCAGCCAGAGGCCCTTTGGTTTCTTTTTTCTAAATGAGTTTATTCAAAGCTGAAATGGATTCTGTTACCTGTGGCTGGCAGGAGAGGGGAGCCGGGGAGATGCGGAGTGGGATGGGGATGAAACACAGCCCGGAACCGGCCGAGTGCCCCCGCTGTCCTCCGCTGGGGGCTGCCCGGAATGGGGTGGGGGGCAAAGCTGAGCTTTAGAAAAAGAGATCCCCAGAGCAGGGACAGGTGGGGAAATGGAAGAGACGGGAGAGAGCCTGGGCTGTAGGTGGCTTCCCAGCTCGGTTCTCAGCTTCTGTAGCTGCAAGGATTGGAGGTGCAGGACAGGCAGACCGCAGGGATGGGGACACAGGACAGCCAGACCCCAGGGACGGGGACAAAGGACAGCCAGATCCCAGGGACGGGGACACAGGACAGCCAGACCCCGGGGATGGGGACACAGGACAGCCAGACCAAGCTGCTCCTTGGCGAGTGTTCAACCTGCAGCCACAGTGAACCTGGGGTAGAGGGGCTCCAGCCCCGATACGTCCACTTACCAGGCACTGTGACAGAAAAGGGTTTTATTGTGTCGGTGGGGAACATCCTCTTGCAAAGGACAGTGACAACACCAGAGCGATGCCCAGAGGGGACTTTGCACATGCAGCCGGGATCTCAACCAAGGGATCGCTGCCAATGCCAGCAATTACTTCTTGAAACACGGGAGAAGCCCCAACCCTTCATTAATTCAGGAATTTACAGGTATTGGAGCAAGACGTTGCCTTGGGAAAGCTGGAATATGTAAATTCAATTAAGTCTCATTCCAGAATGTTGTAGCTGCCCTCAAACGATGTGTTTAATCTCAGCAAATTCAAATTCAAGATTGAGTCTAAAAGCAATTAAAATAAAATCTTACAAAATGAGAGGCACAGAGAGGCAAACGCCTCCATGCTTTCCTCTCCCAGCTTCCCGTGTAGCTAAAATTAACAGAAAACTTTGGAAAGACCAAATTTAAGCTCCCCCAGTTGTTTCTTCTGTCTTCCTCCATAGCTGTGTGTCTTTGGCACATGCCTTAAATCCGCCCTTTGTTGGGAATTCAGTGGTTTGGATCAAACGCCTTTTTAAGAGCGTGTTTGCTGTTTCCCACGCTCTCTCTCCCAAGAAGTCACCGGAGGGCAGCGCTGGGGCTGGGTCAGGTGAGGTGTTGAGTCCTTTTACATCCCCAACTTGGCAGCAGCTTCCCTGGGTTTATGACACTTTGGTCTGGGCTATTTACCAAAACATCGGCCGTTTCCCGGTTTGTTAGTGAATTGGTTCGTTAGGGACGAGGGCGGCGTTTTCTGCCATCCTCTAGATGCGCCTGGTCTCCCCGTTGGGCTCCAGGACGGTCAGGTTTCCTCTCGCGTCTTGATCCATTTCTATGGCTTCAAACAAGGACTTGAAGTTCCCGGCGCCGAAGCCCTGCGGAGACGACAACGTTACAGACCATGGGGATGGGCAGTGGGTTCGTCAGCTCGGAGGCGGCTGGGAAAGAGCCGCACTGAGAGCCGGCGGGGTGACGGAATGTGACGGCCCCGAGGTCTCAAAGCCAAGATCATTGTGAAACCCTCCAACCAACCTGGTGGTTGTGCCGCTGGATGACCTCCAGGAAGACTGTGGGTCTGTCTTGAACTGGTTTGGTGAAGATCTGGAGCAAGTAGCCTTTCTCATCAAAATCCACCAGGATTTTCAGCTCCTGGAGACAAGAAACAGGGCGACAGCTCGAAGACCCGCAGAGGAGCCTGGGGATCCCTCGGCATCCCCCTCGTCCCTGGGCCAGGCTCACCGCCAGCTTGTCGATGTTCTCCTTCACTTTGATTTTGGCCGTTTTCAGCCTCTCCCGCAGCACCTGGTAGTAGCTGGAGGGCACGTCCATGAACTGCATCCCGCGCTGCTTCAGGTTGGTGATCTGCGAGGCAGAGGAGAGCCCGGCGGGGTCAGGCTTGGGGCACTTGTGGAGTGGTTTGTGCTGGGATGGACGGTGTCGGGGGGCAGAGTGACTCTTCCCGTGACATTGGCCAACCCGGCACACGAGGACCTGTCCCCCCCCTTTCTGTGGGCACCAGGAACAGGAGGGCCCCAGATGTCCAGGTGATGCAGAGTGTTGGCCACTGCGCAAGGATGCTCCATCCCCCCTGACCCCCCCCGACCCCCCGATACCTCTGGAGACCCTTTGGTCTGGAAAGGTCCAAAACCAAGCGCTCAGCAGCACCTGGGCTCAATCCAGACCAGCATCTTCCCCAGGCAAAGGTGGGTGATGTGTGACGGTGCGAGCTCCCACCAGCCACCCCCCAGGACAGCACGTGCCATCGGGGTCCCTGCAGACCCCCATTTTTTTAAGCTGGAGGGACGCGCACTGCCAGCAGCTCACGGATACAGGCAGGACCCTTGCCAGCGACTTGCCGGGCAGTTAATCCTGGTTGTAAAACAACCACGGCACAAAGCCTGCTCAGCCTGCCCCTGTCCTCGTACCCCGACGCGGTCAGAGTCCACCACCACCCGTGACGAGGACTGTGCCCGGCGGGATGTGGCG